CATTTTAATCACCGATTTCTCAAGCATTCCTGAGTTTAGCTCTTTCTAGAGGCTCGTTTCAAGTGAAATGAGGTAGTTTTGCACTCATTTGAAGGCTTCCACCGTGGTACACAAGAAATACTGCTAGACTAGCAGCAGGTATGTGATCAAACGAATTTACATTTCAAATTTCAATGTTTTCAATTAAGTTTCAATGGATGTTCATTTCATGATTGCATAATTGATAGGCAGTGATATGGCCTGAAAACAACCGCGGTTAGAAAGCCCTTCTTAGTTATTATTATGTCGCCTTCTAACCGAACGTTGAGTCAATTGACCCCTCGCTATCGATCTCTATGAGCCCATCGTCTTCGCAGGTGCCGCGTCCATTCAAGAGCACGCTTGATGACATATACATGGTTATGCAAGTGGCAGAAAGAAGCGACAACGTTGAGAAATACAGTTCAACATCGGGAATTGACCCTAATTGGACTACGTGGAAACTTGTAATATCACTTTTTGCTTGCTTAAAACCACTTACTTCATTTGCCCCCAGCTCCATATGTTTTGGGAACTGGGCGGCATTAACTGTAAGAACCGGCTCAATCAGCACAGAGGAGCGGCACAGAGGAGCTGAGACCAAGGATTGAGGGTGGATATTTACCGCTTCCATGAAAATAGCTAGGGTCCAATATACCGTAGAAACCGTAGATAGTTTGTCTGATTAATATTTAATGTTTGCGATTTCATTGCATTAGAATACGTGTTCATGTAATACATATTCCTTCTGGTTTTAGCATTTAATGATTTCTGTATTCACTATTTTGTCCAGTACATGAGCTCATAAGGAAGGCTGGTGAGTCAAACAAGTCTTAATATAACTTGACACGTCGGTAATCAATCAATTATGCGGCCACCTTCTGTTGCGGCGGCGATTAGTCACAGCCGCTATCAAATGGTTGGCCGAAATGTTCATGAGTTCACCCGGCTCAATGGCGCGGAGAGAGTGCGTGCGTCTCATGTTTGCACTCGACCTGAGATCCGGAGGGGTTCGGATCCGCTATCGTGCACAGCGCTTGTAAACGGTGAAATATTATCGTTGGCGAGCAATGTGCGCTCCTCTGTGCTGATTGGGCTGGTTCTTACAGTTAATGCCGCCCAGTTCCCAAAACATATGGAGCTGGGGGCGAAAGAAGTAAGTGGTTTTAAGCAAGCAAAAAGTGATATTACAAGTTTCCACGTAGTCCAATTAGGGTCAATTCCCGATGTTGAACTGTATTTCTCAACGTTGTCGCTTCTTTCTGCCACTTGCATAACCATGTATATGTCATCAAGCGTGCTCTTGAATGGACGCGGCACCTGCGAAGACGATGGGCTCATAGAGATCGATAGCGAGGGGTCAATTGACTCAACGTTCGGTTAGAAGGCGACATAATAATAACTAAGAAGGACTTTCTAACCGTGGTTGTTTTCAGGCCATATATGCTTATCAATTACGCAATCATAAAATGAACATTCATTGAAACTTAATTGAAAACATTTAATTTTGAAATTTAAATTCGTTTTGATCACATACCTGCGGCTAATCGAGCAGTATTTCTTGTGTACCACGATGGCAACCTTCAACT